CATGTCTTATTTTTGGAGAAACACGGTAGTGGCAAACACATTGGAAGTAGCTACTCTATGACTTAATACAAAAAAGGAGACAATAGAATGTGCAAATTGTTGTAATGGTAAAAAGTACTCCCCCACCCATATACATGCAATCTGCATTTACTACCAAATTGCTCATATTCTTCCTCCCCCCTCTCCCCCCCCACTGCCTACCCCCACATATGAACTGCTTAAAGTGCATTTGTAAGGAAACATTCATAGGAAACTGAATTGCCCTTGAATGGTGACAGGGAGAATATTCAGTCAAGAACCTATGGCCTAGTAAACCAAATTGTTTCTATTCGCTGACCATATCTCAAAGATAATATGGCTAGCATGCTAACCTCATAGAACAGAATAAAATATAGTAGGGCCGCAGAGATGAATTTACAGTATTTGAAATATTCCATGCTGTAATTTTCATCATGTAGGCCTTTTTCTTTGCTTTGTCTTTGCAGTGTAGTGGCCAAAGGTATATAAGCTCTGCTGTTACTTGTTGCTGTTTTGCTTGGGGACCAGTATAAACCAGTATTATTGCTTGTATGCCTGCAAACAAAATTATGCTGAATCTTTAAAGTGATTTGGTTGCTTTAGCTGAGATAGGTTTTGGCCATAACACTATCCTACAGTACCTGTAGGAGATGACCAGGCTGAGCCCATGGGAGGGGTCAAATGCATCATCAGTCTCAAGTCCGTTTGTACCCACAATAGATCTTAAGTCCAGCCCACCTTGAATTCTGTTGACTCTTATCTATCACCAGTTTTCTTTGACCATTAGTAGTTCAGATTCTAGTAGGAAGCTTCAATTTGCAATAAACCTACATATTCTTTTGAACTGCCTGGACTTCTGCTTGAACTGCCTGGATTGGGGAGAGGAGGAAGTCTGTACATTCTGCACCTAGCCAGCTGAGCCTTCTGAGCATGGTGGGGGGGGGGGGAAGGCCTGAACACTGCTGGGCCTAGCTGGCAGAGGCCTCTCAGCCCTCATCAGATTTTAACACCAGTGGGCCTAGCTGGCTGAGGCTTCCCAGCCTATGGTGGGAGGAATTGTAGTCATAAAGGTGGGCGCACTGCCAAGTTCCCAAATTTTGATCACATGACTGTGAGGGCATTGCAATGGTCAGAATTTCAGGCAGGGGTCGTAAGTCCTTTCATTCAGCGCCATTGTAATCTCAAATGGTCACTGAAATAAATAGTTCTTAGTTGAGGACTGCCTTAATAAAAAGTCTGCAACAGCTGTTAGACTTGTTGGATAAAATATTTTCATGAACAAGAATAGTTTAGCTTATCTAGAGAGAATGTTATATATATATAGCTAAAGTTCTTGCTTCTTACAAGATTTCCTAGAAGAACATAGAGTCTGTCTCTGTGTTTCAATTGGCCAATTTAAGGAAAATTCCCATGGGAAAGGAGAATAGACATTTGATCAGGAATAAATGGGCTCTCATGGCTGCTTAGGCTAAAACAGATAAGACAGCTAAGTTGCCATCTGTCTTTGTTACAAAGATGTCTTTCAAAATATTGTTATCAGATGGAGTAGCTTTTTGTAAATGACTTCTGCCTGGCTCAAACATTCATTCAAATTGGAGGGGTACAATTTTTTAGGTTGATGACTGCCTTAGGGCTTTGAACTTACGCCAGCAACTCCATCCCCAAAACTGGAGGGCACCAGGATAAGCATATGGTCATGACTAAAACAAGAACTAAATTGCAGTTAATGTAAATCATACTGTATTATTTCTATAAATATGATCTCATGAGATATACTGTTTGTTATATTGTTTCCCTTCCCTCATATTAAAAATTACAAAGGTTTAATGTAACCTTTGAAGACACCCTGGGATTTTTGTTAAGGATTTGGATGGGGAGGGGTTCCAATTATGTGCTCCTAATTGAAATGTTCCAAATGTTAGTGTGACCAAATTATGTGCACTCTTTTAATGGTATTGACTACCCCCTTGATAAGGAGTCAATCTGCTTCAGGAATATATGTGATAGCACCCATCCATGTGTAATTGGAATGGAATCCCAGCTGCACGAGAGGAGCCCATATAAAATAGCTCCTATATAATTAGATAATATTTAAAAAGACCACACTGAAATTCTTGATTCTTCCTTTAGGTCCACAATTTTGATGTTTGGCAGGGACACAAATTGTTCATTGTGGCCTTAGAGCTAGTGGTTTACAAAGCAATTAAAATTGCTTCTATTCTTTTTTTTTTTAAAAAAAAGATTCATTAGAAGAAAGAGATAAATGAACTTGTAATATGGGTTTTTACATGATTAAAGCTTTCGCTTGATACCTCTACAGTACGTTCTGGTCATAAATAATTTCAAAGAAAAGTTGTAGCTACTAACATATTTTTGAATTTGATTGGATGGCATTCTTTTTTTGGGGGGGGGGGAAGTAAATAAAAATCTCTAGTCCTGTGCTGACACCCCTGCATGTAGTTTATCTCATGTGAAAAAGCTGAATATGGTGGGTCTCATTATCTGTTAATATGGTTGGATTAAATTAGCTTTTTTCCTTCACTTTTCAAAATGGTGTCTTTTTATACATTTCTATAAAAGTCATTAACTTTTATCTGATTCTTAAACAATAAAGGTTTCTATTAAATAGAAAGGTGTATAAAGAATCTTTGCAAAACTTTTGACCAATGCTTGCAAAAAAAATAAAATAGCTTGAATATCAGAAACATGTTTTATAAATAAGGAGTTTGAATGTTGATTTCTCATCTCTAGGCTGTGATCCTCAGATATTTAATGAAACCTTGTTTTAGAACAGGGATCTCCAACCTTGGCAACTTTACGACTTGTGGACTTCAACTGACTAAGGAATTCTGGGAGTTGAAGTCCACAAGTCGTAAAATTGTCAAGGTTGGAGACCCCTGTTTTAGAAAATTGCAGAGCCACTGGATAGGCATGCTTTACTTCAACAAGCATTATACTGTAGTCAGTGAAAATAAAATATTCAAGGACAAGAACTTATACATATAAATAATGTTTGAAAATGTGTGTATTAATGAACAGATTTGTTCATAATGGCATTTAACTATTTGTTCCACAAACAGTGGCTTGAGCATAATACCTCACTAAATTTCTTGGATAGGTAATGTAATTGGGGTTGCCCCTGAAGAGCATTCAGAAATTTCAACTAGTGCAGAATGTGGCTGTGCAGGTAGTAAATGGTGCCAGATATATGTCACACATAACACCACTTCTATATGAGCTGCAGTGGTTTCTGGTTGCAATTCAAGGTGCTGGTTGTCACCTTTAAAGCCCTACATGGCTATGGACTCGGTTACCTAAGGGATCACCTTTTCCTAAGAGTTTCTACCTGTCCAACTCAATCTAGCAGAATGGGCATGCTGCAGATCCCATTAGCCAAAGCGTGTCAGCTGTCAGGGACTAGAAGATGGGCCCTGCTCTATGGAATATCCTCCCCTCAGAGATTAGAATGGCCCCAACCAAATTAGCCTTTTGTAAGGCCTTAAATCCTGACTGTGTTCCTGAGCTTGGAATGCTTAATGTGTCAAGAGCCCCATTTCCTGGCTGTATTGTTAACTGGTCAAATATCTCAGCTTTTTTGTATATATATTTTGGATGTTTGTATTGTTTTTTATTGTTTTAAAATTATTTTGGTGTATTAATTGTAATATGTTTCTTGAATTATAAGCCACCCAGAGTCATTGTCTGAGATGGATGGCTATAGAAATTGAATTAATGAACTAATGAATTAATTTCATTTTTTTCTTCTGGTTTTTTGATGAGAAAAATCTAGAACTATAATAGAATACTTCTAGTATCAAACAAGAAGTCCTAAAATTGAGCTAAATCATCTTTTGCTGAATCATAAACCCACTTTACTTTTATTCTTTAAAGCAGGGGTCTCCAACTCCTGGGCCACAGCCCTCTACTGTGCCTTGGCCCATTTGGAACTGGGCTGCGCAAGTGGCAGGCGCTTGCACTCACATGTGCATTTCTACTCATGCAAGCAGCGGGCGCTTGTGCTTGTGTGCAAAGCTTTCCTCACGTGAACGCATCCTCATAAAGCTCCACTTGCCTGAATGGTGGGCACTTGTACATGGCGCCACTTACAGAGAACCATCCCCTCTTTCCCTCCCTCCCTTCCCCTGCGTCGGGCTGCCAGAGTTGAAAAGGTTGGGGACTGCTGTTTTAAGGAGTATTTTAAATTTAAACCTAGCAGGCTCCTAGTATAATCTTTAATTTTTCTGCCATGTCACAAAAATTATTAGATATGTTTAAGTAATAAAAAGATGGTTGGCTACAGCCCAGTGCAAAGTTTGACTAGGCTGATAGGTTGAATCTTCAGGAGGTAGAGCAGTGGTTCTCAACCTTTTTAATGCCGCGACCCCCAACCGGTCGTAAGTCAAGGACTACTCAACTGGTGCAGCACCGTTTGCAGAATGGGACTTTTGGCAGGCTCAGCAGGGCAGAGACAGCCTGGACAATTCCTATTGGCTTTTGAAAGCCAATAGAATAAAAGGGAGTAGCACAGCTAAGGAAAAGGGGGAAAACTGGCGGACTGCATTGTTTGGCGACCCCCGTGAAATGGTTGTTCGACCCCAAATGGAGTCCCGACCCACAGGTTGAGAACCACTGAGGTAGAGGGATGGCAGGGTACAACCTTGATAATTTGTCTTCTTGTTAGTGGGTATTCTCTCAGAGGCCATATTTCCTGTGATTATATGAATCAAATGCTCTACTAAGGGTTCTGACATGTTTTTAGAATTCCAAATATGTTTACTGGCTCCCAAAAGTTAGTTACTATGCAGAGAGAGAGAGAGAGAGAAAGAGAGAGAGAGGGGGGGGAGGGAGGGAGGGAGGGAGAGAGTGAGTAAATGCAGTACATTTATATATGAAGATTTGGTAGCGACTTGATGTAGACAGTGTGCTATCATATTACCATAATGTTACCTATATTCATCTGTCTTTCTCCCTTCTTTCTACAGCATGTGCATTCCGCTACAATGGACTCTCATTTGTCTACCTCATCTACCTCTTACTTATTCCACTGTTTTCTGAACCTACGAAAATAACAATGCAAGGTAAGCATCATGTTCCGGGCAGATGTATTTGAAGTAAGATAGATGCAATCACTGCTACAATGAAATTGTTCCTAGGACCTTTTTAAAATAAATCTCAGAAAGATACCACAGTAAGAAAGAAAACTATATATATATATTTATAATATATACAGGGTTGCCTGATGGGGAAGATGGACAACATAGAAATGTTATTAAATAAATAAATAATACCCGCGTTCATAACTATTTCTTGACAATCAACTCCTCGAAACTGGTAAGAGCTTCATAGTTTATTGAAATATTGAAGGCTCTCTTTAGGTAAGTAAATATCTCTGAAATGATGATACAGTTGAAATAATGACTCAACAGATCACAGGTTATCTAGTATTTATTACATGAAGTTTTGGAAGAACAAGGTATGGAATAGCCCAGGTTTTTCCTTCTATTATTTTGGGCATTCCTAAATTCTTTTCCCTTACTATATACTTCTGTTTTATTGTTGGACAACGCTATTCGTATGATTTATTGGCTTAATGGTATAACAAGCCTCCAGATAATGTGCTTCATTTGACTCTTCTGTTAGGTATTTCTAATGCAGAATCTGAATCTTTCTCTTTCTTTCCCTCCCTTCCAGTTCCATTTATTCTACTGGCAAAAGATGCTTTAGCTATTTTCCATTCTATCTGGATTTCTTATGTGTGTTGAATGTTAGTGTGCATATTTTCTTGCCTTCCTTGCCTCTTAGTTGTAATAATACTAGCAATAGTAATGGCAGTTAGTCTTCAATAGTTAGTTTATTTATAAACAACAGACCTGGCTTAATTTCAGTCAGATGAAAGGAAAACTATTCCTTCATGTAAAACACTATTCCATTCATCCATAATAGTTTCCCAGGCTAAATTTCTATGAATTTAGCTATTGGGAACTTACATTTATAATATATTTACATCTCTCCCTTACTTTACTTTGAACATATCTTGCTAATCATTCTTTAAGAACATTTCTTCAAGTTGCAGCCTTTCTCTCACCCTTACCCTATAGCTGAATCTGCTTAATTTCAGATGTACAATATATGGTGATAATATCCACAGTGTGTGATATGACCGGCATTTATTCAGCTGCTTTTGGCCACTTTTGCTGCTGTAGGTATGCCCTTTCCCCTCCATGATCATTTGATTGGATGATTAGGTTCCTTGTACAGCTGCTAATATAATGCATCACTGGAGCTTCACAAAGTGAGAAAAACTGTCACTTTCTCTCCCTATACTGTTTGTATTTGTCCATCATTTATTTGTCTCTCTTGCTTGACTGTCTAAGTAAGAGAATCAAACAAATGAGTGAGAAATACACACAAGCACTATTGGGAGAGCAAATGGGAGAATAAGGATAGAATGAAGACAAATACAAATAACAGATGGAGTGAATGAGTGATAATCCAGGAATTATTTGCAGAGAGAGTAAAATCTTTCTGGAAAAAAAGGGTGTAGAGAGCATTGCTGCTGTACATGGTCCATGTGGTGAATGAGAGTTTCCTGATGGAAGAAAAAGGCCCCAAACTTCAATTCTGTTGTGTGGGATCAAGTTCTAACAGATAGCTAAAGCCATAGGTCATATGTCAATGTTTGCCTTCTCCTTGACCTTCACCTCTTACTGGGAGAGTGATTGGTGAATATTTTCCTACCAGCAGGAATTTCAACAATTACTGCACTTTAATTTCCCCTGTAAAACCTGTCTGGGCAGCCTCACTTTTTGGCCCAGTTACTAAGATAAATAGGGATTCGCTGTAGCGACAGAGTGAATCATGTTGATATACTTTGTGTTGACTCCCTGACTAATGGAAAGCACTGATTGTCTGTATGTGACCCTGCAGTGCTATGTGTTTTTCACTCCTGTCAAATATCCTTAAAATGCATCTTTGGGGGAGGATAACCAATCTCTGTAAAAAAAAATATCTGCTAAATAAGCTTGAATTGTTGAGGTAATTGTTTTAAGGGCAAGTTTCCAGAAGCTTTTGTAAGGTTTTGCCTTGAATCTAAAATCTACTCACTTTTCAAAAAAGTCCCCCAAAAATCTAAATTATATTGTTGTATTGTTGCAGTTTGTCTTTATCTTAAGATAATCAACTGTTTTTGGAGATTCCAAGGCACCTAAATGTCTTGTGGCCAAAATTGTTGTAACTGATTATATTAACATTTAGCCTTTTTTTGGATATAATGTCATATCTAATCTACTAAAGAATACAAATTACCATTAGGGAAAATTCTTTGTGATGAGTCAAAGTATCTTCCACAATGTTTACTTCGTAGCATTGCAAAATTTTCTGTTATAGTCACAGGATTTGGGAGACAAGGCCTTTTGGGGGGGGGGGGTAAGATAAAATAAGGAAAATCAAATTAAGATTAGATCAGATCACCCAGAATTTTCTAGCTATTCTCATATTTTACAGATTTAAGGATCTCATCTCACAACTCTTTGACAAATTGGGCTCAGTTATATACCCCTTTTTTTGCATTATCTCCAAATAGGAGCAGATCTAAACTTATTTTCTTCTTCAGCTCAAGATGGAAAAAATCTGTGTAATAACAGATTTTATATTTTAAAGTATGTGATTCCAAACCCTGATTTGAAAATTAACCATTGTTTGTTTCTTCAGGACAGTAGTCCGTGGAAAGCATGATATGAATTGGCATCTGGTGTGACTTATTTAAATATATGATTAAAAGTGGACCCTGTGGGATCATGATAAGATAACCACTTTAGTTTATTATTTAAGCTAATTAAAAGCTCTAACGAACTAAAATAGTTACATGTTATTTTGTGAAAAAAAAGGTATTGTTTTAATATGGGTGGTGATATTTTTCACATGGCTTTGTAGTTTTAATTTATTTATTTCTTTGATTTATGCCCAGGGCAGAGGCAGAGCAATAGAAGGCCATATCTGCATGCCTGTGCTTTTCTCTTTGCAGAAGCACTGTTATAATTTTTTAAAGATTAGGTTTTATTTTGTCCTGCTGTAATAAATTTATAAATCATATATGTATCTTATGTATAAATCATATGTATCTTATATCACTCTCTTTTTGATTTGGATATGATCACATAGGTATTTTATCTTAGTCTCCGGTTCACATACATATGAGCATAGAATTGATTAAACTTTTAGAGCCTTCAGCACTTGCAGAATTTTTGGAGGGACTTCTGACTTCTCTGCATTCCATTCATTACTAGGATAGATCATACTGAATCTTTTCTGGTTTTTTTCAGCTGCCACTATGAGAACATGCTTGCTTATGGGGGGGGGTTTAAATTATTATTTAGAAAATGTATATGGCTACCAACTCACTCATGGTGACTCTAGGCAGCTTATAGAAGCACAACCCCATACAAAACCCCCAAACTCTCCTCCATCCCCTGAAAAGTTCACAATTGTTTTTCAGGAAGAAACAGATAAAATATTAAATAGGGGTGATAAAGCCATCATGTAACTTCCTAAGAGTCTTACTGCCTAAACCAAACAAGGAAGGTAAATTTTCTATTTATATATGGCAAGTGAATAAGATAGCTAAATTTGATAGTTACCCAAGGCTTCTTCTCGATGAGTCAAATAATGCCAAATATTTCTCAGTCCTTGAAATGCTACTTGAGACGGAGTCTAGAAACAAACTGGAATTTGCTATCCCACAAGAGTTGTACCAATTCACTCAAATACTTTTTGGATTGCTCGGAGCAACCTTTCAAAGGTTAATGGATCGGATTCTCCTTAAGTAGGGCAAATGGTATGAGGTGGCTCAGTATGTCATAACTTTTTCCAAGATGTTTTAAATGGAAGTTGAGAGGAGTATTTAAAACATGTAGGGAAAGTTGGGACCAGTCCAGTCTAAAAGAAGCTGCCTTGGCTATTAACCAAAAAGATGACAAGATATAAAGAAATTATCTATCAAGAATATGTAATTAGGAGCAGGAAGTGAAATCAATCAAACAAACGGTGACAGCACTGTAAGACTTCAAACAAAGAAGCAAATAAAATAATTGCTAAATTTTGTAGGATATTGTATGAGGTTTATTCCTTGCTTTGCCACCCAGAACCAGGTTCTTATAGACCTTACTTGAAAAAAATTAATCTAGTAAAGTCAAAACCAAGGTCATTTGAACTCCTATATCTTGGAAGTGTTCAACCATCCTTCTGGTTCCATGTTTAGGCCATCAACTTGTCACCTTTTTTAGATATTCTCATTTCTTTTTCTCTAGGGCTTTTAGGAACTGTTGTATTAGGAGATTTTGAAGATGTTGACAGTCCTTGGCTACACGCTGTAACAACCACAGTTATGATACTTGACACTTTATTTCTTATTTCTTCCTTATTGAGGAAGATCTCGTGTCTTTTTATTTTTGTAATTTTTGCTTTCTTATCACCCATTAGTGTTGATTTTGCCGTTCTAGACTTCTTTCTCAGCTTTTCCCTTTTCTATAACTTCTTCAACTTGTGGCCAAGTATTCCTGTGTTAAGGGTATAATTTTAGCCCTATTTTTGCATGATGATCTTGGACACATAACCTCATAAAATATAGCAATATTTGGACAAATTGTTCTAGCATGGTTTCATCCAACATATTTCCCTTTATATTTCTGGTTTTGATCACATTTTTCCTAAATCTGTCTACAACTCTCTCAATTTTTTCTTTGGGTCATAGATATATTGCTTAAACTTTTGTTGGCAGGAATATCTAGTTATCTTATGCTGATACATCACAGTATCCTTAACTCAGTCAGATACTTTGAATAGGAAGCTCTGTAAATGCTCTTAGAGGTTTTCTAGTTAAACCTATAATTAGATGTGCCATCCTCCTTTTTCCTTCATTCATCTGCAACCCAGTTGAACATTACAAAATAGATTCTGTTACATCCTTCTGTTAAGCTTGGGAATCCTGAAATATTTAGATCCTTTTCTTCCACTAGGCATTGCAGGAGGAAAGGGAAAGATTAGATATTAGAGGCTTGTACTTAGCCAACTTGTCCTGCCA